AGCCCCATACCCCTTTAGGGGTCAGGGGCGCGGTTAAGGGATTAGGTAGCGGCTTAAGTGTTTGTTCCTTGATTACTTATAAGTAATATAGCGGATATAAGTTAATGGTAGACTCAATGACTTCCAATCATAAAGTATCTGTTCAAGTCAGATTATCCGTAAAATATAAGTAATAATAAAGATATGAAATGAATCATAAAGAATAAAAAGGAATTATTGAAGATTATATAAATTATATATTAGAAAATGGATAATAGAAAAGAATAAGATAATATCAAATTCAAAGAATCCAAAGTAAAAACTAATAAAAAAAACTAAATGAACTGAAACATCTAAGTAATTTAAGGAAAAGAAATAAAACAAAGATTTATAAAGTAGTGGTGAACGAAATATAAAAAGTCAAAAGAAGTAATATGTAAAAAAGATAATATGTATGAAAAAAGTGAAACTATCACTAAGACTAAATACTAATATATAAATAAAAATAGTACCGTGAGGGAAAATAAGTAATCAGTAATTTTATGAGCATAATAAAAGATATATAATATCTAAAATTAGTACCTCTTGTATAATGGGTTAGCAAGTATATATGAATAGCAAGATAATAAAATTATCATAGTGAAATCGAATAAAGGATAGCTAAATACTAAGTATTAAGTGATTAATCCGCGCTGCTAAATAAGCCGCCTCTTAGGGGGCGGCCAATTATGTGGCTTTATAAAACAATAAAAGAATGAAGTTATTTATATATGACCCGAAAGTCCATGATCCTATCATAATCAAGTGAAAGACTGAACTGGTTACTGTTGCAATAGTATCAGAAGAATTGTGATAAGAAGTGAAATATCAATCATATGGACAGTTAGCTGGTTTACCACGAAATATATGTAAGTATAGCCATATAAGAAATTATTTAAAAAGTATAGCACTTAATACTGTGTTTCAATTATTATTAATTGAAAATTATATGGGGGAATGTTAAATTTTTATCATCGGTATTTAATCTCAGAAATAATAATAATAATCTATATGAGTCAGACTATCCGTGATAAGATGTATAGTCAACAGGGAAACAGCCCAACACAAGAAAATGAAGGTCCTTAATAAAATAATAAGTGAATAAAAGATAATTGAGTAAATCAAATGATTTCATATAAAACAATTAGTTAGTTGGTTTGATAGTAACTATCTTATAATAAAAGTGTAAAAACTTACTAAAATAGACAAATGTCAGTATATAAATTATCAAAAATATAACGGGTCTAAATTATTTAACCTAAAACTTGTATTTTAATTGTAATTAATTAAAATGATAGTGGTACATTTAATGAAATATAATAATTAAATAGAGAATGCTAACATGAGTAACGAAAATAAGGAAAATCCTTATCATCTAAAACATAAGGTTTTACAATAAAATCGGTCCTTAAGTTAATAATAGTCGCTTACGCGATTAATAATAGGTAATATATCAATTATATAGGAAATGTGTGAGGGAAACTAAACACTTATCTGCTAAGTAAGCCGCCTCTTAGGGGGCGGCCAATTATGTGGTATAATTCCAATAATGTATATAATTCAAGAAAATAAATCAACCGTAATGTAAACCGACACAGGTATGTATAGTAGAGAATATGAAGATGAATGGGAGAATTATAATTAATGAACTCGGCAAAAATAATACTGGCTCCGTCTTAAGATAATATCAGCGGATGGAGCCCTGTCATAAAACAAATAGCACAACTGTTTACTTAAAACACAGCACTATGCAAAAATAATAATTATAGTATATAGTGTGAACTCTGCTCAATTGTAGTAAATAAAATTGAATGATGCAAGTCATACAACTTAATAGCTATAAAATAGCGGTCTTAACGTGAGGATCATAATGTAGCGAAATTCCTTGTCCGCTAAATACGGTCCAGCATGAATGACGTAATGATGCTATAACTGTATCAATTATAAACCCAGTGAAATTGGAATCGCGGTGAAGATACCGTGTACCTATAGAATGACGAGAAGACCCTATGCAACTTTACTATGTATAGATAGATTGATATAATATATATATTATTCAGTACTATTAGGTATTATATTATTAAAAAGATGAGAAACCTATTAATAATATATATTATATCTAAACGAATGAAATTTATTAATAGAACATAATATTCTTAATAATATCAATGAATTTAATTCATTAAGTGACAATCTCTATATGATAGTTTGTGTGGGGCGCACATTTCAGCAAATGTATCTGAATATGTCCAGATTATAATAAAGATAAATTCTAGGTTAATAACCTTAATAATAAAAAATAGCTTAGCTATTAAAATAATAACATATATTAAGGGTTTAATCCCTTAATTAAATAATAGAATAAATTATATGTGATAATAATTGATATAGAAATCAATGAAAGAATATAATTCTTCACAAAGTGTAATAGCATAATCACATAATAATTGTAACATCTACAAATGAAACAAGTATTTACGTATGGTATAGTGAACAATTGATACTAATTAGAATAGTACAATGATAACGAATAAAAGTTACGCTAGGGATAACAGGCTAATATGGTGAAAGAGTACAAATTGTAAACCATGTTTGGCACCTCGATGTCGACTTAATCCATCCTATTGGTGCAGTAGCTAATAAGGGTTAGGCTGTTCGCCTATTAAAGGATTACATGAGTTGGGTTAAATACGTCGTGAGACAGTATGGTTTCTATCATCTATGGGTAAGTATCAAATTAAATCTTATATTTAGTACGAAAGGATTAATATAAATCAATCAATGGTGTATTTATTGATAATTAGGGATTAAGGGCTACGTCTCGATAATCTGCAATATCATTATATTTAATTATCACAGTAAAGTAGCTAAATTGATAAATGATAAAAACTGATAGCATATTAAGTTTTAAATGGTTTTAAAAATAGATACTTTATACTTAAGTTATAGATAATAACTGAAATATCATTTTAATATAGTCACATACTCTAATCCCTAAAGGGGTATGGATAGTGGCGCGAAGTGTTTAGCTTTTTATATTAATTAATAGTAATCTTTATGATTTCTTATCTTTATTATTTTATTTGCTAAGTTAGCTTAATTGGTAAAGCGGTTGTTTTGTAATCAACATATTGGGGTTCAAGTCCCTAACTTGGTAATTGAATGAGTTTTCATTGTTGGTATATGGAGCTGAGCTGTAAACTCAGTGGTTTTTGACCTTCATGGGTTCGATTCCCTTCTTATTCATTTGATTTAAGAGATATAGGATTTGAACCTATAATTTTCCACGTGTAAGATGGACGTTATACCATTAAACTAATCTCTTAATTACTTATACATTAAGCCCCATACCCCTTAACCCCTAAAGGGGTATAGGGGTCAGGGGCGCGGACTAGTCCTACTTATTATGACTAGCACCGATATATGCTTACCACTAAATATAAAATACTATGCGACTTAAATGCAGCGACTCGTTACAGATGAAAGCCAACCGGTTAGGCGTCTTCTTTGGGTGAAGAACTTAGTTAGTTCGATTCTAGCTCATCTGATTTGGGATTCCGCTTCTTACACTATCCTCTACCTCACCCCTTAACCCGTACCCCTATACCTCTAGGGGTTAGGGGTCAAGGGTATGATTGCGCCCTAATCTACATTGTAATGATGAGTGATAAAAAACTTAATATATAAGTAATCAATCCAAGATTTACGAATCTGTCATTAAGGTTAGGATATAAATTCCTATAATAGAGAATATAAAAATTAAAATGAAAAATAATATTATGTTAAATATACATAGACAAAATTATCAATTACATCCATTTCATTTAGTGGATAACTCACCATGACCAATATTTACATCATTTACATTATTTGGTTTAGCTATGAATTCAGCATTAACAATGCATGGTTATATAGGTACTAGTTTATGAGTAGTATTAAGTGTAATATCATTAATTTATGTATTATTTTTATGATTTAGAGATATTGTAAGTGAAGGTACTTATTTAGGTAATCATACAGTTGAAGTAAGAAATGGTATAAATTTAGGATTTCTATTATTTATAGTTTCTGAAACATTATTCTTTGTTGGTATATTCTGAGCATTTGGACATTCTGCTATATCTCCTACTGTTGAAATTGGTGCAATATGACCACCTTTAGGTATAGAAGCAATAGGTCCAACAGATTTACCTTTATTAAATACTTTATTATTATTATCATCTGGTGCTACTTTAACATATAGTCATCATTATTTAATACATGGTAATAGATATCATGCATTATTAGGATTATTTATAACAATAGCATTAGCTGTAACATTTATGGTATGTCAATATATTGAATATACAACATCATCATTTACAATAGCTGATGGTGTATTTGGGTCAGTATTCTATTTAGGAACTGGATTTCACGGGATCCACGTGCTTGTTGGTATAATAATGTTAAGTATTTCTTATTGAAGAATATGAAATTATCATTCAACTAATACACATCATTTAGGATTCCATACATCAGTATTATATTATCATTTTGTTGATGTTGTATGATTATTCTTATTCATATTATTCTATTGATGAGGATCATAATAAATTAATTAATGGGACTAATCCCTTAATTATATAATTAATTAACTATTCATAATTGGGATAGCATTAACGGGAATTAGCGAATCCTTTAAAATTAAATAAAGAGCTCCGTTTTTAAATAAATTAACCAATGAATATAGGAATATCAATAATATTATTAGGATTTTTAGGTATAATAGGTATTAATAGTAAAGATATATTAACAACTATATGAGTATCACCTACAAAATTAATAAAACAATTAAGTTTAATATTATCAATAATAACATTATATATAGTATTATATTGATGATATATATATGAAACAAATACAAATAATTATCAATTAGTATCAAATATACATAATATATTATTAGGATTAGATAGTATATCATTATATTTAATAGTTTTAACAGCAATAATAATACCAATAAGTTTATTATCAAATTGAAATAGTATAAAAAATAATATAGCAACATTTAATATATTAATATTATTATTAGCAATATTATTATTAATAAATTATTTATGTATAGATTTATTATCATTTTATATATTTTTTGAAGCAACATTAATGCCATTATTTGTATTAATAGGTATATTTGGTGCTAATAATAAAGAAAAAGCAGCATATTATATATTAATATTTACATTTACAAGTTCATTATTTATGTTATTATCAATAATAGTAACAACATATATAATAAATAATACATCATATTTAATATATACACAATTAATATTATCATTAGATTTACAAATATTATTATGAATAGGTATAATGTTAGGAATATTAGTTAAAACACCATTATTCCCATTCCATGTATGATTACCAGTTGTACATTCAGAATCACCATTAGCTGGTTCAATAATATTAGCTGGTATAATATTAAAATTAACTGTATATTTAATAATACGTTGATTATTACCATTTTTAGCTGAAGCATCAATTATATTTAATCCAACAATATATGTAATATGTATATTAACTATAATTTATACAAGTTTAATAACATTAGTACAAATAGATTTAAAAGTTATAATAGCATATAGTTCAATAAGTCATATGGCAGTATGTATAATAGGAGTATTTGCAAATAATTTATTAGGTATTGAAGGTAGTTATATGTTATCATTATCACATGGATTTATATCACCTGGTTTATTTATAGCTGTTGGTGGTATATTATATGATAGATATCATACACGTATATTAATGTATTATCAAGGATTATTATCATTTATGCCAGTATTTGCATTATATTTCTTAATATTATCATTTGCTAATATTGGTACACCATTAAGTGGTAATTTTATTGGTGAATTCTTAAGTTTAACTGGTGCATTCCAACGTTCACCTATATTTACTACATTATGTACATTTAGTATCTTATTATCAGCTTGTTATCAAATGAAATTAAGTAGTCGTTTAACTGGTGGTATAAAATCACCTTATATTAAAGTTACTAAAGATTTAAATAATAGAGAATCTATATTAATGTTATCTACTATATTACCTTGTTTATTAATTGGTATTTATCCAATGTTTATATTAAAAGGTTTATATACTAATATTTCTAATGTAATTTATGTATTATAAGGCTCCACTTATTAATTTAATGATTAGGTAGGACCCTAGAAATCCGAATTTTATGGATTAGCCGCTAAGTATTTTGTACTAAAGCGGCGAGATTTATTAACTATTCCATTACCCCTTAACCCCTATAGGGGTTAGGCGCGATTTTCCATTTGAATTTGTAAATAAACACGCCCCGATTATGTAGGTAAATTACCAGCTGTGTATAAAAAAAGGTTGCTAAGTTCTCCGAACTAACCATAAGTGATATTAGAACGGCCGCCCCCTAAGTTAAACAGCCGTGCTATCTTCATAATCCATTTATAAGGTTTCATTGACCGTGCTGCGGCTCGGGTTGTGCCCCGGATTTTATATATGGAATAGTAAACGCGCCTAAGTACAAAGTACTAATGCAGCTTGAAACTTATAATTATACAGCATATAATAATAAGAATGAAATCATAAGACAGAATAATCCTGTTGCTTCACTTAAGGCAAATCCTAAGATGGCAAATTGGAATAATGTTGATCTTAATTGAGGATTACGGCTTGTACCATTAATTAAAGCAGCAAAAACTATTGCTATTCCAACCCCTGCACCTGCTAATCCTATTGTAGCTATACCACTACCTATATATTTTCCAGCTAATACTATATTATTCATATTAAAAATTATAATAACAATATAAAAATTGTATTAAATCATAAGATTTTAACCATTATTAAGGACATTGTCCGGTTAATGTTCTTAAAAGGAATCGAACCAATGTAACTAAAGCTTCAGTTTAGCGCTTTAACCACTAAGCTATAAGAACATAAAAAAGGGGATAGTCAAGATAAATTTAAAGCCCGCAGCAGATTCCTCTACCACAACTATATTTCAACTTCTCACTTGTCAAATTCAGTACTTAATATATATTAATTATATAATAAAATCAATATTAAATAATATATATATTTTAGTATTTAAATATTTCAAGCGAATGATGAGTGATTAGTACGCATAAGAGAATGTTTCACCGTAATGTACTTAATTACGTATTACTCACAATTCCTATTTCACATATACGAATTACAGTATATGATTCATATTAAATATAATTAAAAAATTAATTAATAAATTATACATTTTATATCATTTGTTATATATCACTATATTACTTGATTTTGTATGTATATTTGTATCACGTATATAGCCCATTTTATTAAGGTCATGAGGACTTGTCTTAATCCTTAAATAGGGTAATACCCTATTAATTAATTATATTAATATAATTGTAGGATTTCGTTCATTAATGGACTTAACCTAAAACCTTACGGCATGAACTGAAGACAGCTATGTAACACTTGTAGGTCGCATTGCGACTTATACTAAAAATGGTAAGGTTATCGCGGATTATCGCATTAAACTACATGATCCACTGTGTATAACTTATACCGTCTATTGTTTTGAGTTTATAACTTGCGTTTATACTCCCCAGGCGGAATGTTTACGTTTTCACTTTAAGACTAGATATAATAAATAAAATTGATTTTTATATTCTTTTATCTGACTTTAACATTCATCGTTTACTGCTAAAACTATACGGGTAACTAATCCGTTTCGCTACTTTAGCTTTCGTTCCTCAATGTCAGTTTATTATTGATATAGATTTTCATGTCTTAATAGTCTTATAAGTATTAATATATTTAACCATTACTCTTATAATTCTTATATCTTATTATTTAACTCTAGTAAATTCCATATGGAATTACAATTCTACGAACCCTTTAAGCCTATAATGTGCATTACTTGTCCTTGACGTATAACCGCAACTGCTGGCACGTCTGTTTGTTAGGACTATTTTATAATAATCTATCATTATTTATTATTATATTAAAGTTTTATATTAATTCATTTAATATTATATATTAATTTACATTTCTTTTTTTCATTATAATATTTTTTCACTTTTTTAGATTGCTCGTTCAAACTTTCGTTCATTGACGAATATTCCTTACTGCTGTATCTTAATTAAGATATTGATCGTTCTCTCATTATCAACGTGATTGGGCTTACTCTTATAACCAACTAAATATCTTCGGCTAGGTTAATCTCTTACTTATCCTACTACCTAATATTTTTAATAGCTTGACTATAACCGATAAACGCCGCTTATCTACTTTATTGGTATTTAACCTAAATTATAGTTCATATTACTATTATTTACTCACGAGTTCACTACTTTGTCATAAATAAATAACCCTTCAGTCATTCATTTAATCCCGTTTAATTCGCATGTATTATGCATCTAAATAGCAATTGCACTGAGCCAACATCAAACTCTTTAATCAATAAAATTGATTTTTATATTCTCTATTATTACTTATATTATTCATCTACATCCCTCTCCTATACCCCTATACCCCTTAACCCCTTGACCCCCCCCAATATTGGGGGGGGTGGGGCGCGGATTAGACGCATTGTAGGTGAACATACATTGGCACGTTATCAATAAGTAGATCATATTAAGATTATGTCTTTATAAATTTTAACGATGAATTTAAGTTTCATAATATTTATTATTGGTTTATTTGGTTTTATATTTAACCGTAATAATATAATATTATTATTTATATCAATTGAAATAATGTTATTAGGTTTAACAATTAATATATTAAATACAGCATTAATAAATTATGATGTAGATGGTTTAATATATGGTATAATTATTATAATTATAGCTGGTGCTGAAAGTGCTATAGGTTTAAGTATATTAGTAAGTTATTATAGATTAAGAGGACATATTAATATAGAAAATCATTAATGATAATTATCACAATATTTTTACCTATATTAGGTAGTATAGTATCAGGTTTATTAGGACGTTGATTAGGTTATAAATGAAGTAGTCAAATAACAACATTAACAATAATAATAGCATGAATAGGAGCAGTTATATTAGCAATAGATGTAATAATGTATAATAATATTTATACAGTTAATATTAGTAAATGAATCTATGTAGAATATTTAGAAATTGATTGATCATTTATAATAGATGAATTAACAGTAACAATGTTAATACCAATATTAACAATATCATCATTAGTACATATATATGCATTAGGTTATATGAGTCATGATCCACATCAAAGTCGTTTCTTTTCAATATTATCAATGTTTACAGGATTTATGGTAATATTAGTAACAGGTGATAATTATTTAGTAATGTTTGTTGGATGAGAATTTATTGGATTAGCATCATATTTATTAATATCATTCTGATATACAAGATTATTAGCAATGAAATCAGCATTATCAGCATTATTAATGAATAAATTTGGTGATACATTTTTAAGTTTAGGATTAATAATAACAATATGAACATTTGGTACATTAAATTATAATAGTATATTTGCATTATCACAATATATTAATACTGATATATTAAATTTAATAATGATATGTTTCTTAATAGGTGCTACATCTAAAAGTGCTCAATTAGGATTACATAATTGATTATTATCTAGTATGGAAGGTCCTACACCAGTATCAGCATTATTACATGCAGCATGTTTAGTTTGTGCTGGTATATATTTATTAATAAGATCATCTTATATATTAGAATATAGTCCAACTGTATTATTATTATGTTTATGATTAGGAGGTTTAACTACAATTATAGCAGGTATAATAGCTATAACATCTAATGATATTAAAAAGATTATAGCATTATCAACTATGTCACAATTAGGTTTAATGGTAGTTGCTATAGGTTTATCAGCTTATAATATAAGTTTATTCCATTTATTCTGTCATGCTATGTTTAAAGCTTTATTATTTATGAGTGCTGGTAGTATAATTCATAGTATTATATCAGAATCTCAAGATATTAGAACATATGGAGGTTTATTAAATTATTTACCTGTTACATATGTTTGTATATTAATTGCTTCATTATCATTAATGGCATTCCCTGGATTAACTGGTTATTATTCTAAAGATATTATTATTGAATCTACTATTGGTGTATATACTATATCTGGTTATATTATATATTGATTATCATTAAGTTCAGCTACATTAACTACATTATATAGTATTAGATTATTATATTTAGTATTCTTTAATACTCCTAATAATAGTAAATTTGCTTATTTAAACTTACATGAATCTTCATGATTAATGTTAATACCTATGATTATATTAAGTTTCGCTTCAATATTCTTAGGTTATATTACTCGTGATATTTATTTAGGATTTGGTTCACCATTTAATAGTATATTTATACATCCTAATAATTTATCTATTATTGATACTGAATTATCTATTAATATAGTATATAAATTATTACCATTAATATTAACTATATTAGGTACTATATTAATATTAGTATTATATGAATTCTATTATAAATTCATATTAGTTTATAATAATAATACTTTATTATCTATATATAATTATTGTAATAATAAATTTATGTTAGATCAAATATTAAATAATATTATTATAAGATCATCATTACAAGAAGGTATTAAATTAAATAGTTTTATTGATAAAGGTACATTACAAATATTAGGTCCACGTGGTATTTATGATACATTAAATATTATTGTTTATAATACTATTAAAGTATCTACTGGTTCATTATTACATTTCTCATTAATATTATTAGCTGGTATATTATTCTTAATATTATCTGTAATATTCAAAATAGCTGTACCTTTATTATTTATATTCTGTATAGCTTTATTAGGTACAACTCTTTAATTATTAGATTGAATACTATTGTATATTAATTTTAATTAACTATCCCTAACCGCAAAATACAAAGTACTATGAGGAGCTAAGTTACTTCTACCCCTATAGGGGTTAAGGGGTTAGGCGCGAACTTAACCCTTACACCTATAGTAGTTAAGGGGTTAAGGAGTGAGTTAAACCGCGCCTAAGTACAAAGTACTAAAGCGGCTTATTAAATAACTGTCATTATAAGTAATAGGGATTATAGTTTAATTGGTAAAACATAAATTTTGCATATTTATAAAATGGGTTCAATTCCCATTGATTCCAATAATTAAGGTAAATATAGTTTAATGGTAAAACATATGTTTGTGGTACATATTATCAGAGTTCAATTCTCTGTATTCACCCATAAGATTAGGATACCTCCCTAACCCCCGTACCCCTATAGGGGTTAAGGGGTAATAGGGGGGGTAGGATGCTTGTAAACTTAGATAGTTTAATAGGTTAAAACTACCGCTTCATAAGCGGTTAATGTAGGTTCAAAACCTTCTCTAAGTAATAAATGGGGAGGCTAAGTATATCTAACCTTAGGGTTCTTCCATAAAATTAAAGTAATAATTATAAGGGACATTATCCCTTTTATAATGAAAATTAATATAATAATATAAATGAATTTACACATAAAAAAAATTAATATTAAAAAATAAATAAAATTATTATTATTAAATCGTATAAAATTAATAAATAATATACAATCAATTGAAATGAAACAAAATAATGGTTTAAATATTAAAGGTCAATATCCTAATAATAGATTACATGTATGAAATAATAATAATAATAATATAAATATATATATAATTGAAATAAATCAAATTTAATTAATAATCAAATGATTAATAAAATATTAAGTAATATTATTAGTAAATATTTTAATATTAAAATAAATAATATATCTGGTAATAATGTATCAAATTCAATAATTATAAAATATATAATAAGTGAACCTATATTTAAAAATACTAATGATAAAATTAATATAATATTATTTATATATAATAATAAATTACGTTATAAAGGATTACTAGGGTTCCACCCAACTCAAAATAATATATCTGTTAATAATAATCAATTATTAAGTGAATCAATATTATTAAAACGTATTATTAATAATATAACATTAAATGAATCAATTAATATTAAATCAAATTTAACAGGTTCTACTATAAATGAAATAGAAAAATTAATTAATAAAAAAATAATAATTGAACCTATTATATTAAAATATGATTATTTCAATAATAATATATTTAGTAAAAATATTAGTAATAATATTAATGGATCATCTAATTTAGGATCAACTGCATCTAAATATAGTAGAATAGCATTACGTCCTTTAACATTATTAAATCGTATGAATATTAAAGATACATCATTAAAAAATAATACAATATTACATAATATTATAAATAATAATATATATTAAATAATACTAATAATAATATATCAAATTCAATATCAAATATAGCTAAAGAATATTTAAATATTAATAATACTATATGAAATTTATTAAATAATAAATATATTATAGGTTTTACATTTAAATTTACTGGTAAATCACCTAATGCTTTAAGTACAGCAAGAAAATTAACATATATAAAAAATTATGGATCATTAAATCAAGGTTCATGAGGTACAGCATCAGGTACACAATTAGGTAAACAATCATTAAAACATGGTATAACAAATAAATCAAATATATCTATATCACGTCGTGCAAACGGTTGAAGTAATATTAATAAAAATGGTAAATTTAATATTAGTATTAAATTAGGTCATATTTAAATAATTAACATTATATGAATTTAACCGATTATTAATATAATTACTTAATATTATATCATCAATATATCCGGCCGCTGCGCGGCAATAGGGGTTAGGAATATAACATAAGAATAATATAAATATAATGTTATCCATAATGTAATTAACTATTCAAGCCGTATTAGAGGGCTTTATCATATAGTAGAGGACCCTTGATATAAGTATAATATTCCTTAAGTCATTATAACTACTACATTAGCGACATAATTGCATAATACGCGCCTAAGTACAAAGTACTATACCCCTACCCCCCCCAATATTGGGGGGGGGTCAAGGGGTTAGGCGGCTTAAGCGAACATAAATCAGTACGTAATTAAATATGAATAATGAAGGACTCCTTAACCTCACCCTATTACCCCTATAGGGTTAAGGGGGGTACAAGGGTTAGGCGCGGATTATTACCTTATAAGTAATAATAAATTATTTAAAACGAAAGTAGTTAATGGGATCAAATTCAATAATTTATAAATAAGAAGATAATAAATAAAAACAATGTTAAATATAATAATGAATACAATATTAAATGATGTACCAAAACCTTGAGGTTTATATTTCCAAGATTCAGCTACAGCAACAGCAGAAGGTATAATAGAATTACATGATACAATAATGTTTTATATGATAATAGTATTATGTTTAGTAACATATATATTATATAGTATAATAACAACATTTGGAAGAAATCCAATATCATATAAATATATGATACATGGAACAACATTAGAGGTAATATGAACAATATTCCCAGCTATAGTATTAATATTAATAGCATTCCCATCATTTATCTTATTATATTTATGTGATGAGGTAATAGATCCAGCAATGACTATAAAAGCAATAGGATATCAATGATATTGAGTATATGAATATTCAGACTTTATAAATGATAATGGTGAAACAATTCAATTAGAATCATATGTAATACCAGATGATTTATTAGAAGAAGGACAATTACATTTATTAGATGTTGATAATAGAATAGTATGTCCTATAGATACACATATACGTTTTGTAGTAACAGCAAATGATGTAATTCATGATTTCACAGTACCTTCATTAGGTATGAAAATAGATGCTTGTCCTGGTAGATTAAATCAAACAAGTGGTATAATACAAAGAGAAGGTGTATATTATGGACAATGTAGTGAATTATGTGGAGTAGGACATGCAGCAATGCCTATAGTAGTTGAAGCAGTAACATTACCAAAATTCTTAGAATGATTAAATGATCAATAATGAATTATTCCGTATACGGAATTTAATTAACTATTCAAATAATGAGATTTGTCCATTAGTGTTAGCTGCTTAATATAAGTAATTAATAAGGGGACTCTGTCCACTAATAAAATCAAACCAGTGCCTACCTCTGTACTCTTATAGGGGTTAGGGGTTAAAGTCGCGCAGCGGCTCTATGTGGATTAAGGACACCGTAGTGGGATTATGTCTTTAGGATTTAATCTCAAAAATGAAATACAAATATTAAAAGGCTTAGTCCGTAAAATTTAATAATTATTAATAAATCAAATAATTAATATATAAAAGTCAAATATGGCATTACGTAAAAAAAACGCATTTTTAGCATTAGCTAATAGTTATTTAATAGATTCACCACAACCAAGTACAATATCATATTGATGAAATATAGGTTCATTATTAGGATTATGTTTAGTAATTCAATTAGGAACAGGTATATTTTTAGCAATGCATTATTCATCAAATTTAGAATTAGCATTTATATCAGTCGAGCATATTAAAATCTCTCTTTAAATTACATTATATGTTCTTTAAATTACATGATGTGTTCTTTAAATCTCACTATATGCTGGAAACTCCTAAAGCTTTATGTACTATATAGAGGGCTCCATCCTTAACTATTAGTGAAAATCATATAGATATTACAATGGACAATCAGCAGGAAACCAACAAATAAGTGTCTTAGGCTTTATGTCAACTATTTAAGTAGGATCCTCAGAGACTACACGTGAGAAACGATAATTATATTATTGTTATGATATAGTCCAGCCTATTATGAAAGTATTAGGAAATTGATTATAATAATATTTGTCATATCATCTTTAGGTGTTATATATAATAATGTACGTAATTATAGCAGTATAATGTCAGAAGACAATATATTTAAATCAGGGCCCGCGGGGGCCCGTAATCACATATAGACCTTGATTTTATACAATGATTTGTAGGGTTCACAGATGCAGAAGGAAACTTTAGTATTATGAATAATAATGATTATATTAGATTTAGATACATTATTAATTTACATGTAGATGATGTAGAGGTATTAAACATTATTAAAAATAATTTAGAAGTAGGGCACGTTAATCTTTATACCACACATGCAGCATTTGTAGTATATAAATACGATGAATTAATATATCTTTTAAACATATTTGATAAATTAGGCTTACAAACTAAAAAGAGATTTGATTATAATATATTTAGATCTGTTATGCTTAGAAAGGAATTTATTGGTAAAAAATTAAATGAAGACCAAAAAAGAGAAATAATTTCTATAAAAAATAGTATGAATAAAGGAGTATCAAATGAAATATGAAAAGATATAAATGTTAATATTAATCAACATTGATTAATTGGATTTACAGAAGGAGATGGAACCTTTGGTATTAAAGGATTATCCCCCTATTATAAAGTATCTCAAAAATACAGTGAAAAGACACTATTTGGTATTGAAAAATATATAAACGAAGGGCGCAGCCCCCACCAGTTAAACTTACTCAAGTTATAAATAAAAGAACTAATGTAGTGTGTTTATGTATAAATGATATTGATATATTATATTATACAATTTATCCATTATTTAATAATAATATGCATAGTCGTAAGACTATTGATTTTGAATTATGATATATGGTATTACATTGTCATAAGTTAGGATTACATTTAACTTCTGAAGGAAGAAAATTTATAGTATTTGTATCTGAAAACAATAATAAAAATAGATATAGTACTGTAAAGGATCAAAATATTTGAAAGGAAAATTTATCTAAAATAAGAGATATGTATAAAGAATTATTAAAGATGGACCCATTATTGGATATAAATAGAGGATTAACACATACTCAATTAACGTTAGAATATGTGCATAATAATCCTAAAGAGAAAACAATATATCTCTATGACAATAATGAATTAGTATTAGGATCTCCATTTAAAACATATGCAGAAGTAAATGAAGTATTGGGACTTAAAAAAACTGGTAGAACAATTTATAGAAAGATCGATACCAATAAACTGTATAAAGACAGATATTTAATTACATCTAAACCTATAATAAAAGAATCTAATTAGGTTTAAGTAAGTTATAATCGCGCCCCGCAGGGGCTTTGATCATGAGGGATGTCTCTAGTGGTTGAGCTTTAAGATATTGTCATGCAAATGGTGCAGCATTCTTCTTTATATTAATATATGCTCATATGGCTCGTGGATTATATTATGGATCATATAAATCACCAAGAGTAGCATTATGAGTAATAGGTGTAATAATATTCTTATTATTAATAATAACTGGATTCTTGGGTTTTGAAAAACATAGCCCTAAATTAAATCATATAAAAACATAATACAACGTCAATAGAAAATTATTATTTAATCATTGTCAAATGAGATCTTCAAGTTATTGATCATTATCAACCAAA